TCATCGCTTATGGCATTCAGAGTATCTGAATATTGAATACAAAATACTAATAAATTTCAGGAATAAATTGGTTTTAAAAACTGAACGGGAAGGTTAGTCGAACGATGTTTTTGTAGTAGAATTTCCGATAATTATCACATGGAAGAAAAATAGTGATTATAGCCAGAAGGGCGTCGTAAATTTACAGAAGAGAAGTGCAATTTGCTCGTTTCCTACGCATAAATGTCAAATAAATTCATTTGGGGAAAAAAAAACCGTACACACAAAAGAACATCGGCTGCGCGTTTCTATATTCCCCGGGTGCTTTATAAATACGAGATTAAAAACGAGTAGCGGGATAAAGGCCACCTGTTGAAAACGGCGAATCGAATTAGGTTCATTTCCAGACTAAAAAAACACATACGCGCGCACACGGGAATTGACTACATCTCATGACTCTGGGAGAACGTCAGGCGATGAAGTTACATCGAACCGGCGGAATTTATGTATGGGCAAACATTAGGTGAAGAATTGCCGGCGGCCCCCGTTTTACTGATCAAAGGGGCCGGGAGCAGTATAAACAGAATGGAACGAGGAGGAATAATTTGTAACAGGCAAGCCCTTTGCGGGACTTACAGGGAGCTTATAAATTTAAATTTGACGTTGGCATTCTTTCAAATCAACTAGACCATCCGGTCTATTTTATAAGTCCTTCCCTGAAGTTACTACCCGACTTGTTGACGTACAAAACTAAATCCAACTATTCAGATTTGGTAAAATGATCAAGAAAAAACCATACAAAGTTCAATCGGAAAAAAACTGACAGACTCTAAGATTTAACACGAAAATTAACAAGTTACCTAATTATCAAAGAATAAAAATACAGAAATGTTTATCGGAAAATTAAATTCTACAAAAGGCCTATTTTATAACCACTCATAACTTTATTCTATAAAAAAAACCTTCCAAACACTGGAAAAAGAAAATTAAAAATTATAATAAATTTGAATAAATTATCACAAATAAAATTTGAACTAAAAAATCTTTTTTTAAATTTATTATCTTCAATTTTTATATTAAATTATATATTTTTTTTAAATAATGGGTGTGCTAATAACTCAGGGAACTTTTAGAAAATTGAAACTTAGTAAAGTTCCACCTACTTACCATTATTTTGAGAGTTTATTTTAGGCCAGATGGAAACTTGACGAAGTTCTACTTAGAAATTATCACTTATTTTAAAGACTGGTTGGGCTTCGTTCTAAAAATAGACGTTACCTGTACGGAGTTGAAGTACAGAAAAAATTTAAAAAACTACTGCAAAGTTTGTTTAAGCTATCTATCAATATGAGGTTATTCAAATTTGATTGAACTTGAATAAGTATGTTCTGTTTCCGCATATTTTAAAACAGATCACAAGTTTTTTCAAAAACAAACAAACCGCCTGAATTCGCGTTATTTTCCCCATAATAAAAATTCGGCCAGATTTTTTTTTTCTTTTTAAATGCAAGAGCCGCCTAGAATCTCAACTATTTTCTGAAATACTATTCTCAGAAAACCCAAACATGCAAAAATGAACAGTTAAAAAAATGTAAACATAAAAATCCTGGAATCCTCCTATCAAAAAATTTTATCCCTAAAACAATGTTGCCTGAGCAAGATTATACACCTTATACAAAAACAGAAACCACTATTTCAATCATGTTAAGGCGTAAAAACGTAAACATGATAGCGAAAAGTATTAAAAATAAAATGTTGATTGCAAAATCAGGAAAATAACAGTATATCATGAAAGTCATAACGTAGAACATTAGGAAAAATGTCCTACGAGGGTGTTCAGTTCTCTTGTAACGTTTGTTTTTACTGTATGTTCTTGTATGTAATATTTGTAAATATTCAATTGTATTTTATACTGTACAGTTTTAATGTATTGAAGGAAACAAATCCTGACAATCCACAAAACCTAGTTCTATGCTCTGAGTTATTCTGAGTTCATTATTTCAAAATAATAGCATTTATTATGAAGATAGAAACCTCTATGAGTTAACAAAAAGGATAAAATTGACTTAATTTTTATTTTAAATGTTATAAGGGACGATATTTTTTAACAGTGGCACTCATGTTTAAAATTTCTGGTTCTCATTTGGATAGCCATAAAACCAAGATTTCTTGGTGGCAAAAAAATGTTTTATGCCCAAATCTAAAGTAGATTTTTTTCTTCTTGAATAGGGTTTGATAAATCTTTTAATTCCGGACAGAGGGCATCGAAAGGGATCCCAGTAATTGGCCGGGACTCGGAACCAATCCGGAAGTGATGGTTACTATTTTTGCTCACGTCAACGGAGACGGAGTATCGATCCGAATGGAATTTGTCAGCGTCCGGAAAACTCGTTAAAGAAGTACTTTGAAGGCATAAACGTCCTCCGAGATGGCCTCTTGCCTTCAAACCAGTAAATGACATCATAAATCCGGAATACAACACTTCAACGGTTTGTTTACTCCTCCGAAACGGCTTTTATTGACGTGCTGTTAATTCGATAAGATATACGGTAACTTTCGACGGAAAGACGACAATGTTTAAAATAAATAAAGTCACGCAACGCAACGACGGAAGGATGAGTTTATTTTTTCAACATTAGCAAGTGAAAGAGAGATAGAGATAGCAAAAAGGTAAAACCTGGAGGCGACAGTCTATAGCCTGCCAAATCTTTCTCATTGTGCTTTATCACAATTGATCGGGCAATACGAGAAAAGTAGCTTTTCCATTTTGGTGAACATGCTTCGTTAACAACGACATTTCAATCATCAATGGAGAGAAGGGTCAGGCAATTGAACATTTACAATACAAAAACAATCAACTAACTTTACAGCACCATGTATTTTACATACTATTGCAAAGTTTGTTAGAAAACTCATGTAAACCAAAGTTATTACCCTAATTATTTGTCCAAGTGTGTCTTGCTACATATTACCCTTTTTTTAATAAGTGACAACTAAAACCTACAATATTAAGTTTCAAGACATATTTTTTAAGTTCAAAACAATTGTTTTTAATTCCCAATTAGCCCATTTTTAATTTCAACTTAACCAATTGTTTAAAACACAAAACCCGAAAGTGTAGTAAATTTAAGCTCGTAAAGTAAAATACTTGCATTGGAAAAAAAATATAAAACAACTGGGCTCTTAGAAGACTATTCAAAATTAATTTCAATTAAAATGAAAAGTTTAATATTAAATATAAAACGAATGATTATTTTTTCTAATTTGAGATGAACATTGCTATATGTTTTCAATGCCGTATATATATTTACGTATACTTCAAAGTAACCATTTTTTACAAATCACTAAATTATCTACTAAACCTACTAAATTAAACAATTGTTTACAACATGCAAAACCGACATTGTACCAAACTTTAAGCTCGTAAAGTGAAATGCTTGTATTGGAAAAAAAAATAATATAAAATAACTGAGCGAATGAATCTCCTTTTAATTTAAGATGAAAATTAATTGCAATGCTATATTTGCTTTCAATGTCATATGTATGTACCTATACCTCAAATTAACCATTTTTAACTAACCATTAAATAATCTACTAAACCTACTAAATTAATCAACATAAAAAAACCGAGAGTGTAGTAAAATTAAGCTCGTAAAGTAAAATGCTTGCATTGGAAAAAGATTAATGTAAAATAACTGGGCAAATGAATCTCCTTTTAATTTAAAATTAATTAGAGAATTTTTTATATGTTTTGTATATAAAATAATTGCATCCTTAGAAAACGTAATAAAAAAATAATTAATTTAAAAATAATATTTTTAATAATAAATGTCCATATAGCCTTCTAAGAGCCCATTTTTTCCACATAAGCAAATTTTTACTTGAGTGCTTATTTTTAATAAAATCTCTTCAATTTTGTTTTAAACAAAGGGTTAATTTGAAATTTAAAAAGTTAATTGGATGATAAAAAAGTTAGTTTGAAATAAAAAGTTTCAATTGAAATGGGTTAATTTTAGGCTAAAAAGTGTTAATTTAAAATTAAAAAAAGGTTAATTTCGAATTGAAATTCAAAGAAAAGCGTTAGTTTGACGGAAAAAAGCACCGGTATGGCGGACAGAGAGCTCTCAATATAACATACATTTTACAGCTTAACCATTAATTTAGACAGAAACCTCTAGAAAATTTAAACGTAAAACACTTGTATTTTAACGACATTCATCACACACAAAATGTCATTTGCCCTACATTTAAGATTAAAAACGTTTAAACTTCCATATTAGTTTTTTTACAACCAACACTTATATTTGTGCATTTGTACTCGTCTGAAGTGAGGTTATAAAACTTCTAGATATTTACTTATTCACACGTGCTTTATAATAAAAAGAAGAAAAAGGATTGAAAAACTTTGATTTTAAACTACGAACAGCTGAATGATAAGCTGGTAATCGGAGAAAGTAAGAGGGTAATGATGTAAATAGTTACATTCTTTAATTAGAAAATCACATAATACAATTAATAAATTCAATGTATAAAATATACATTGGGACCGTGTTAGTCAAGTAGTTAAGTCGTGTGGTCGATTATCATTGTCGCCCCGCAAATTTTCTGACCCCCCACCTCCTGCCATTAAAAATCCATTCTCGCCAAATTGTTCTATTTAAAATTAATAAAATTAAAATAAAATGTCAGAAAAACGTCAACCAATAGTTTGGTTGCCTAAAATTCAATTATTTCCTATCCCGTCCAATAAATTTATAATATATATTTATCTTTATCCTTCGCCTTGGACGATCAAAACAAGAACCGAGGAAAGACAAATTGACCTAAATCAAAGCGAGATTGACCCTGATGCGATCAATTAGAGACTTAAACGGCTAAACAAATCATGATGGCTAAACTTCAACTACTCTCTGACTTACCCGCATTGATAATGAAATAGAATCCGGTTACAGGATCATTACACCTTTCTATTAGCATTAAGTTTTTATTTTACTATTTATTGTTTTTTGTACTTTTTCCAGAAACAAGGGGGAATGGGGCGGGCGTAAGATGTGCGGTGAGGGCTGCCGGGAGAACTGGTGGGCTCTGACGGCCCTCGTTTTAGTCCTGGCAACTGCAGCGGGCAACATCCTCGTCTGCCTGGCCATCACCTGGGAACGGCGACTGCAGAACGTCACCAACTACTTTCTCATGTCCCTGGCCATCACGGACCTAATGGTCGCCATTCTAGTCATGCCGATCGGAATACTAACCCTAGTCAGAGGTAAACAAAACGAAAAAAAGAATTGAAATAAACGAAAACCCCGAATTAATAATAATAAAATTAAAATTTTTAGCTGATTTAGCCACTTTAATTTAAAACTAGTTTCAAGGCAAAAAATATACATTCACTACTTTGACACTGAAGAAAATTACGATTCAGTTCCAGAATATGGACAATGATAGACCAAAGGAAAACATTTCAATACCTACAAATTATATTTTATTTTTTACCTAGCTAAAACTTTTCAGTTTTCACCCTTTCCATCCAAAAACCATACGTTTAGACTAAAATGATTCATTGTAGAATAAGTATATATACAGCCAAAACATATGTAATAATATCAATGTTCAGAAAAGTGTAATATGGTAACGCAAACGTTCCTAAGTCCTAAAACTAGGAGAACTTTTGTTGTATATTCTTTGTGCCTGGTCATATTTCTAACCGAAGAACCGTTTTGGACCACAGACCACAAGTTTTCAAATTTTGCTTTCTTAGTTTCCATGTTTGGGCTGTTGTAACTGATAATCTGTTTGTTTATACAGTATTGACACTTTTTTTTTTAATTTCTATTAATTAAATTTATCTTTGGGTTAAAAAAAATTACATGATGGCCTGACACAAGTTATCGTCATGGAAAATTTCTTATTTTAATAGTGAATGAATGAAACCTTCTTCTACTTTTTCTTACCCAACAAGTCAAAAAATATTAAAATGATGATTGTCATGTTTCGGTACTAGTAAGCATAAAATCCATGATTCAGGTCGTCCCACTATGCGCGCAAATATCACAGAATGGTAATATGATAGAGAACTGAAATCCTACCCGTCGCCATCTCGTCTCTCTCGACCTGCAAATACAGGAATTTGTCGACGCTACAAAAGCCGCCGGATCGTAAATTCGTGTTGTCGAGAAAACGACACGACGGGCCGGATTACCTCCAGCGGGACGTGACAGTCGGATAAATGGGAAACGCAAACAAGGAGATAAGAGCAACCGGGGCGCACTAATATCTCTTATGAGACCTGACGGGGGGGGGGGGGGGGCACAAAGGCACAAGTTCAAAGGCCACGTCGTCTTAAACCGGGGCAAATGGGAAAATATCTCTCCAACGCGTCCATAACTAAAGAAAATGAAAATGGTAGCTGTGCGGCGGCTTTTAAATTCGTAGATTTTTCCTGGTGCGATTAGTCTCTGACCTTTAAGAATGAATATTGAACGATGAAGACTCCAAGAGGCATTGATCCTAAAGAGAATTGCGTGCGGAGAATTCGGAAGGGGCCCCTAATTTATAAAAAGCCCAAATATTTGAAAAGGGTGCCAGCCAACCCCCCCGATCGGGAAAATGGTAGGCATCGACATTGTCAACAAATTCAAACTATGGTGGAAAAATTAAAAATACAAATTAAGACATGTCGAGCCTTTACGAATGAGATAAAAATATAACCTCATATTAAAAAAATATGGCTATTTTTTTAAGCTGATAAAAATAACCCCAAACCAAAATAAAGTAGACGTTCTGTGAGAAAGAAGGAAAAGCAAGGCGTGGCCGCATAAAACATTCGGAATTTATACAGAAAAAACAATATTTAAATAATTCGAAAATAAAATGAGGATAAACATTACCATAAAATGAGGATGTTGATCTAGATCCCACGTACCTAAAACAGACAAAAATAAAACATAAGATTTAAAACACTACTCCATTAATACTAAAGCTAGTTAAACAAACTGTACACACAAAGAAAAAAGGGAAAAGCTTATCGCTTCATACATTAATAATCAACAAAGGAAAATATGCATGTGTTTAACTTAGTAATTGCCAGATTCTAATGAGTCCTCAGCAATATTGAACTCATTGTCAGTTCGTGTGATTGTTTTTCTTTCCGCAATGTAATCTCTAACAAACAAAAACTATATTTCAAGTAATCAAAAGAACATAAATAAATCTGCAATCCTGCTTCATTTAAAAAAAAAGAAGGAAAAACAGCGTACTCGTTCTTAATTGAAAAATTCTCCTACTCAAACAAATAATAGATTGGGATTTTGATGGTCTGTGTCAAACAAGCCAGAAATTACATCTCTCAGCAAACGATTGGTTAACAGAGATATCAAAAAACGAAACGATATCTGAACCCGAACAATGATAAACAATAATGATTGAATGTACAGTGCAAAAATAATCAGAAGTGATGATTTCTCATCAACTCTCATCAACCATCACAATTCAAACCCGGTATCTTCAGTAATATTAGAGCAGGTAAAATTTTATTTTAAAAAACTTAATTAAACCCCCTCTGGTTAATTGTTTAACCATTACAAATAGTGCGCAAATGGGGATCTCGTTATTAAAGGTTTCTGTTCGTCATCACACATCTGAAGGGCTTGAAGCCTTTTTCTTTACATTGTCACGAGTATGTTTGCTGAGGTCTTTTTTCGGCGAAAGGAAAGCTGTTATTTATTATTCGGTACGTTAGCTTTGTTGGGAAATGTAGGTCGGGCTTTGATAAATATTTTTTACATGGCCTGTGGTTCGTTATTGTCCTCGTTAGCTCATTTCCGTTTTGTATCCCTTTCTAATTGTTTGAATGTATGTACGTTCATTTATTTCCGTGAGCCACAAATATTCTTTCCTCGTATTATGTTAATTATGCAGTTCGCATATAACTGCGAAATATATATTTGGCGGAATTGCAACTCTATTTGCTGTTCTTTTTTTTTAAAGTCTGATTTTATGAGGGAGAAACATGCATGTTGGGTTTAGTAGGCGATCCATTTGAAAAATTGTTCAACTGATAAAACCGCAAAAGGTCCCTTTTCTTCAAATCATCAAAACCGTTATTGAGCTTGGCGATATGGAAATTGGATAGGTTATCTAATCTACCAATTACTCAGAATAATGGAACATCCTTCCTTGGCTTTTGTAAGATTAATTGCCCCCGTTTCGCCAGTATTTCACTAGTTTAATATTTATCGGTTACTCCACCTTATTTAAGGGGTGGTTTGAATTTTTTCCTTCAAGACTCTACGCATATTTTCTTGAAATTATCTTCAATATTTTTATTTCAGCGTCCCAAGTAGCGATCAGACTTTTGTGCAGGCAAAACAAAGAATAGTAAAACTCACGATCACTTAAAAACCTAATGCATGCAATTTTTTTTACAATATATTAAACATACAAAACGGCCTAGAGTATTTTCCATCCATGTCAATAATTCTTTTTCACAGCAGAAACAGGAATGGTTTATGAAAAACCCTTTTGGCTTGTTTTGCCATTTAAAAACGATGAGATGGACCGATGACTAGTCCGACTAGGCAATGACGTCAATTTATTCTTCTTTCTCAATTCTTTTGCCCTGTCAACTCTCCCAGCCGGTGTTACCGCTACGCAAAACCACCATTGACATAAGTGAGAAAACTACATTCGGAGCCGGGTTAACTCGCGTAGAAATCGATTAGGGATGTGGAACCGATTTGGCAAGAGAATTAACCCTGATATCCTAATTGAATAGGGTTACGGTGAGAGGAACGCCCTTTGCTCGACGTACCTGCGCTCTCGGTTTAATTACTTTTATGGGATTAGTTAATAATTGGAGGACACATAGCCTAGAGCCTTTTCACGTCTTTCCACGCATTTCTTCCAACTTGACCCGATTATGTAAAGAGCAAATGACAGAATTCAGCCTTGTTTGAGTTGTAAGATTTCTTCTTGAAGTCATCCGTGATGAACCATCACCATCTAGCCGTATCAGTGTGCTTTTGGATACAATATCTCATAAAAGGCCTTGCCAAAACATCTTGTACTTCATTTAGGATCTGACAGGCACTATAGATAGGTGCTACCTTGCAACAAATAATATTGCGAACTTCTGGTTCAAGATGATGTATTTCCATGGTTAAAGAGAATACAACTAGATTAAAATGGAGAAAAGACGAGAAAAGGTATTTGTTTACAAAATGTGTAATCCTCAAGTTTACTATTCTGAAGTAACTTCGTTATTACAAATGAGGATTAACAATTTTTTTGTTTTTTGGTTTCTATTTTCTATACAAAAAGACATTAATAGAATAAGAACAAATTACAAATATACCTATTCATTTTTGCGTAGTTTTCATTCAGGTGGAATTTTTCGTAGAGTTTTAAAATTGAACATTCCAACATTCGTACTGACAATGGATAAAGTACAATAAATAAATAAAAAAAGAGAAATAGAGAGAGAAAAAAAATACTTTTGTTATAAATCATATAAATCTTTCTAAAAGAAAAATTACCGGAGTCAGCTGAACGGAAGGAAAAATACAGAAAGGAGTATCTGTTTCAAAAGTTCTCACCCCAAAGTCCATTCCTAACCACGATCCCCCAACAAGGGAAAATAAATACCGTTTAATTTTCACCTTTTCCTCCTTTGCCTCCACCGATCCATATTTACGGCCTTCCATCTGTAAATTACGCGAATGATAATTAGCGAGGCAGCCAAACCCCAAAATTCCGGGAAGAGTGGAAATGCGAGACGGCAGAGCGATAAAGCAAACTAGGCATAAACCCTTCAAACTGAATCTGCAATTATGAGGCACTTAGCTGTCTAGATGCCGAACTTCTGAAGGAAGTCGACTTCCTTGGAGTACATGGAGAGCTATATGAATAATAAGGCTACTGTGACAAATTATCCGAACGTTTTATTCATAAAAAGATTAGTTAGTGAGAATATGGTAATTAAAAATAAAATCATTTGTATTTCTATGAACAAAGTCTATTCTGGCACACTAGGTAAGAAAAACAGTACCAATACTCAAAACAAATTACTCAACTACGGGTTGGCAGAGATTATTGCTTAGTGTTTCCCTCGTGGAAAGAAATACTTTTAACGTTATGAAGCTCAATACGCTTGAGAGAGGGAAAATCCATCACCATACCCTAGCGAGTTGGATTTTCGGTATTATTTCGTGGCGTGCATAGAGAACGATCCTCAGCCATGCCGAATCCTCTTTTACATATTTTGAGTTAATCCCACAATCGCGGTTTCATTTTATAACCGATGGGTAAGCCGGAGGACGTAACTGAAATCCTACCCCCCCCCGGAAGATTTAGGGTTTTTTATTAATGGAATCTCGGTTAAACGAGAGAAGAAATTAACCAGATTCCATTTGCCATTTTCTAAACCGCGAAAATTTTACAAATCTCAATTTAAAGCGCTTTTCGAAATAGGTGGCCGAAAACGATTTCTAATTGATTGTCATCAACCCCTCACTAATTGGTTTAAATTGTCAAACTTCTTCTAAAGGAGAAGAGCTTACCAATTAACTATAATCCCCTGCCCTAAATGGATATATTTGGATCGGATGTGAACGACGGGAGGCGGGAATCCTCCGCCGGGTTGTTAGCAAGTTTTCAGCTCTGATTTATGGCTCAAACGGGAGTCTATGCAAATGAAAAGCACCGGCTCGATCCCACCGATTCCACACCATTTAAACGAAAGGCGTCTATTTCCAGGGGTTCGAATACCAGTTTGTGGTATAAAGGACACGTACACAAACCGGATTAAGAGCAACTTACGTAATTTTGATCAACAATATGGAAAAAAGCGGATTCATACGCTTCGTTTCTGTAAAAGCAATGAGCGATTTTTTTAAAACTTACCATCAGTAATTTAAGCATTATTTCCAAGATTTACTTACACACGCAACGCTAATCCTATCAGATGTGTTAATGTCGAGAAGTATGCGAAAATAAATTCCGAACTACTAGCACACAGTCTGTTATCTGTTGATCAACATGCAAGTATGTTATTTCGTATAGCACACTGACAGGCAAAAATTCCACCCGGTTTTTTTTATCTTTTCTCCATAAAAGAAAATTCTGCCCTTAATTTGTTTTTACCAATAATATTTGTTTATGCTATGTTTTAAATTGAGAATATCGATTAGAGGTAAACACACTTAATCCTCCTTAATCCAAAACAAAGATAACGGATTTTTCAATGTTTACTTTTTATGGAATTGAAAATGTTTATTCAGTCTCATTTGAATTCTGAAGGAAATAAACTGTGTATTTTTTATCTTTGTTTTCTTAATTTCAATTTTTAAACTTAAAAATGCCACTTAGTGTTGAGGATGTTGCGCGTGGTGTGGCACTTATTGATGATGGACGTTCCATCAGGTATGCGACTTTTGCCATCGGAGTTCCCTACGAAACTCTACGAGACGCCGTTAGACGGTTTCGAGAAACTGAGTCCTAGCATAGAAGGCCCGGTTCTGGACGCCCTAAGGTAACAGAACCACAAGATGACCGTTTTTTTAATTTGAGAATTGGCGAAACCGCCACCAGCTCCAGGAAGTTCGAGGTATCCAAATTTCTGAACGTACTTCTCGAAGATTAAATCAGTATGGTCTGATGGCTTTTCGATCCGTAAGAGGACCAGAATTGACCAGAACACACGGAGTTAGATGGCTCGCATTTGCTCGAGAACACAGCTATCGGTCTTTAGACGATTGGTCTGCGTCTTCTTTTTGCAGATAAGTTTAACTTTGCTCTACAGTCTCCAGATGGGCGTGAAAGAGTGTGTAATAGAATGAAAGGTACGAAGCCTGTAATTTTTCCCAGAACCAACCTTTTCAACCTAGCTCAGTGATGGTGTGGGCGGGAATTTCAATGGAGAGTCGCACAGAGTTGGTTGTTGTTCGTCTTTGACGGCCACTCGCTATGTGGATGAAATTTTGCAACATCCTCCATGAAATCAGCGACAATCTTATTCTAATGCAAGATAATGCCCGACCACATGTAGCTCGCGTAGTACAAACTACCTTCAACAACATAACATCAGAGTCTTATCCAGGTCAACCCGCTCTCTAGACTTGAACCCCATCGAACATTTATAGGATAACCTCACAAGAGGAATAAGAGCACGTTCATAATTTCCTGATACACTCCACCAACTTGAAAGGACTCTTCGTGAAGAATGGGCTAACCTCCAGCAAAGAGACAATTCCCGACTGTCAAAAAGTATGCCGCGGCGACTTCGCGATATAATTAAGGCAAGAGGAGGAAATACGCGATACTGAAATGTTAATTAAAAATCTAATTAAAACAAATTTTATCTGTCCTTCTTTTTTATTTATTTGTTCCTTAGAAATTTCCGTTTTTTTGTTTTTTAAACTTTTTTAGACAAAGATTCTATTACAAAACGTGAAACTTTGATTAATATATAAAAATATATAAATCAAGTTATATTACAAGTGGGTGGAATTTTTTGCCTGTCAGTGTATGAAGGTTATGATTTTGTATCATTTAATTAGTCGGATTAGTTACATACTATTAGAACGTACAAAATAATAAAATATAAGAAAGATGGAAAAGACTCAAAATGTTGTTTAAATCAGGATGAAATTCCATTTCTTTTCAAATATTCTAAAATCGGTGAACACTAATCTTTGCTGATTCTAGATTGTTTTCTACCGACTGGATTGTAGAAATGTAACATGAACTGATATTTTTTCTCTATCCTGTTTTTCAAAACTAGACATATTTGAAAAATTAACTGGTCATAAATTTTTAACAAGAAATGCTCTAGTCGATTTTCTAATACTCAGTAAGGTTCTGTGTTATGTTACTTCACAGATAATTTATATTTATTAAGATTAGCGCGAATTCCATGTAATAGGAATTCAAGGTAGTCGCATAATCAAAATCTGAAAAGGTCTTTCTCATTCCTGCTTACACCCTGGCACACACGGGGCGACAAATCGAATAAGTACGCCCCCTTTTAAAGACGTCAGTGGCGAAACGGAGAAAATTAAATTAAATATAGCCTTGGAGTGTAATGAGGTGTCGGGTAAATCCTGCTCGACTTAACTCGATTCCCGACTCTCCATTACAAGTAATAGACTTTAAGGCAACAGGTCCGTTTCCCCGGGGTTTAAGGACAGGGTAAAACAAAGCGAAAATGGGCCTTAAAAAAAAAAAAAAAGAGGTATGGAGAGTTACAAACACAATGCAACCCCATACGGCTTATTTTCGACAGAGGCAGTCGAAAACGTATTGGACACATAGATTGGGGTCAGAGGGCGCCCCTAATGGTCAACGAGTTGATCTAAAAGTAGCCCGGAGGACTCCTTTTGTGAACTTGAGATTTCCCAAAGGTACTCCGACCTTTTTCCGACCCACGCAGCTATAGATTTCACCCCTTAAAAAAACCCAACTGCATGCACATTCTACACAAACAAAGCGCAATATATTATTTTGAAGATAATCGGATTTAGTGATAACATAAAAAATAAATAAATTATTTTATTTTGCAATAGTTGGAATAAGTAAGTTTTAATAGAAAAGGAAAAACTTCAAATCTCCTGTAAAAGATTGACATTGACTTGAAAAAGTACATATACAACTAAGAAATGCAATCACCTGTACTAAAATGTTCAATCTTAAATTTATTAATTATTCATATGCCTAAAAAGCATATACCTGTTGTATTGTTACATACTAACCCTGAACCAAAGGAACTAGGTAAGTATTTCTTAGAGAGAGAAAACTTACCATGCGAAACAAACTGCTGCCGCTACTACACTAAAAAGAAATTAAACACTTCCATAATCAAAATGACAGAAAAAGGACCCAATTAATTATTATTCTCATCAACGAAGAGTAATAAAGCTAACCTCATTAAATTTGGATGTTTTCAATAACCCGTGGGGATTCGCAGGATATTGTGGCCGCCCATTTTCACGTTTAACACAATGCTCGAACCGTAGTTCTCACGTAATCCATCTTTCACCACCAGAAATGTTGTAACATTAATAACACGGGGGTATGTTTTCCGACTAAACATAGGAAAATATGACGTGTTATTTCCTGAGATACAGAACAGCCCCAAGTCAACTCATTAGATTCAACTAAAAGCCTCCTTTCGAAGTAATAATAACAATAATAATTTTGTGTGAGCACTGTGTAAAGCTGGAGACATTAAAATTAAATTCGCAGTAAAAATATAACATATAATAAATATTCACTCCTTTAAACCAATGTCAAAAAAGGCAAACCATTATTCCATTCCTTGACGTATAAAATCAATGAGAAACATTCAATTTTATCTCTACTTACTACAAGGCAAAATATAACCAATGGTTACATAAGTTGTCGTAACATAATATACGTTGCATCATGAATTTGTGTCTATTAATAGAAATGTAAAATTAAATGGCCATGTATACTTAAAGGAACGAGAAAGACCTATCATTCATTTAATCAAGACAAAATATGAGTTTCAGACAGAAAATGTGTTCAAATTTAGTATAAATAATAATTGGTTTTAATATATATTATGTCGCTTATGCCCAATTCAATTGGTAACACAATGTAGTAGCTGTCGACCGTTTTGGAAGTCAATTCCTCCTACGGATTCCACGTAGGCCGTAAAAGAAAAATTTATTTACATCGAAATCGCCTGAATCCGATCTTCGAAGGGATTCAATAAGGTCAAGTGCCCTTCTCATTTATGCACGAGATCCTTCTATTGAAAGCGCGGAATTGAGAAAGAGTGAGGACTTTTACAGGTTTCTTCCCGCTTCCGCCCGTCTACTGCCTCGCCTGGATATGCCTGGACGTCCTGTTTTGTACCGCATCCATCATGCACTTGTGCACCATCTCCGTCGACCGGTACCTCAGCCTCCGCTACCCGATGAAGTTCGGGAGGAACAAGACGAGACGGCGTGTCACGTTGAAAATTGTCTTCGTCTGGCTCCTTTCCATCGCCATGAGCCTTCCCCTCAGCCTCATGTACTCCCAGGTAAATTACAACCATTCAACTCGAGTTCATTATAATGCATGCAACTGAACGTAATCCGACCGGCATATCCGATTAGCAAATACGCGCGCGATTTGTGTATCGAAACACCTACATTGTACACAACGTTTATTGGTCGTGATAATATGCTGACCTCTGAATACCAAAGATTATGGGATCAAATTAAGGATCCTGCAATATTTCGAGGTGAGGTTTTATACCTACGATACCTATGAATTTCAACCCTTGACAAGTTGAAGCGGCAAATGCGTGATATTGCACGTTATTACCTCGAGGTGAGAGCATATATGCTGTGAGCGTGTGCGTCCAAGGGACGTAATGAGTGCAGAAAAAGATCGGACGCCATGGCGTGTCTGGTGGTCCTATCAATTTATCTTCAAAGCCAAATAAATGTAGAACAAGTTCTTGCGTGTCACGTCTTGATTTATCCCCCTGGGCAAAAATTTCTTTCCTATCTTGTTTCGCGGAATTGACGTTTGATTATTGTTCCTTCATCAAAACTAAAAGCTCAATTTCCATCTGAAGAATAGTGAAGAATAATACATTCTACGGATACTAACACTATAATGTCGTAAAATTTGCCAAAGCTGTTATGAATATTGATAATTTCTGTGGCATGAAAATATAAACACATCACACAAAAACGCGCACTGAATTTTTTAAAATAATTTTCCTCGATTTGACATAAATATTTGTCCTCTAATTAGTTACAGTACAGTAACTTAATATATGACATAAAAATTATGAATGTGTCAGTTTAGTTCTATCAATTGCAACACATTAGTATTCTCAAAATAACCATATTTTTGCAGGATTATAACAGTTTGGTGGTAGGCGGAATTTGCCAAATTCCTGACCCCCTTTACAAACTCATCGGCTCTATCGTAAGTTTCTACATTCCATTAGGGGTCATGCTTCTCACGTACGCTCTCACTGTCCGCCTCCTCGCCATGCAGCAGAAGAACCTGGGCGGAAAAACAGGGAAGGACGGGTGGGCGGCCGGCTGGCTGGGACCTCCAACGCCAGGTACTTTCTCATTGGACCCATCCCTTATATTATTAACAACGTTGTGTTTTTTAAGGATTGGAGAGAAGGTGTACGTGGAAGAGGTTGTTGGGAAAACCGGGCGTCACCGGAAGGAGTCACCACTCGAGCGCGGGGTCGACGGACACAGAACTGACGACATTGGACACCCACGAACTATGGATACCCGACTCCGAGCCGAAGCCCTACGCTACTTCGGCCCTCCAGCAATTCGGCGCCGAGATGTTAAAACTCTCTCGGGGTTTCGAATCCGTCGCCCAGAACAACGCTGTTATTGCGACACCCCCGTTTCCCCTGAAGTGAGTATTTCAAATATGATCGTTTTGACAAGAAGCTTAATTTTTTGTATTCCAGGGCTACGTCTAGATGTAAGCCGTGTGAACCTAAGCCAAGAAGAAGAGCGTCCACGATCGATGTAATAAGACGTAAAGAAAAAGAAGATATCAAAAGAACGACGAGCTATCACGAACGCATGAGTAAATGGTCTTCCTCGAGTAGCGAGGACGAACCGATTAAAATAAATACGGTTCAGAGGAATCAAGAATCGTCCCAAGAAGTCCCTTTGCTACCACCTCCCTGTACCTGCCCTTATTTCGGTGATCCAAAGAAGGCTGTGAAAAGTAACGAAGTCGTGATTATAACGACTGAGGACAAACCGGGTTTTACAAAGCGAGAAGAAATGACCGTGACATGGGATTCGCCTCAAAGGAGGTTCAAAAGAGGGTCAAGTTTCAGTTCCGGTAGTGTCAGGACAGTCCTAGCATCCGCCGAATGTTCCCCGGCACCGAGGAAAGCGCCGATTCTCCGCCGTTCCGCTACATTGAGGGCGGGCAGGCAAGATTTCAAGGCGATGGAAGACGCCGCTCAAGGCGTCCTTTTGCGTTACGGCTCCAGCCAGGGGATGGGCAGGAACCTGTTGGTCAAATCTCCACACAGCCGCAACTCCAGCGTCCTCTCTCGAACGTCTTCCAGACACGGTCGGATCATCAGGTTGGAACAGAAAGCGACCAAAGTCTTGGGCGTCGTGTTTTTCACCTTCGTCATCCTCTGGGCACCCTTCTTTGTGTTGAATCTCGTACCTTCTGTGTGCGCGGAATGTGAGAGGGATATTGATAAGTGGGTATTCGATTTCGTAACTTGGCTAGGTTACGCTTCTTCCATGGTAAATCCTATTTTCTATACCATTTTTAATAAAGTATTCCGCCAGGCGTTTAAAAAAGTCCTTCTGTGTCGGTATCGTAATAAAACATGGACTCGCAAGTAAGCAGATAGTTTGAAAATTAATAATATTAATTTTTGTATATTTCTGTACATATTGGGAACAAAACCTGACGGGTTTTATGGTAAGCATTTATTCTAAATGTAAGCTTAAATGTAAATATATATATAAATATGTATAAATGCATTGTAGAAGTCAGATTATAAAAGAATAAAGAATAAGTATTTGTTGAGTGTTTTATTTCGATGGGAATGCAAAAGCTAAAATATTTTTCTGCGAATGTGAACGATCTTAAAGATCATCTTCTCCATGTGAAACAACTTCTCCAGCCAGAACAACCAACTTCACAAGACGCCAAATCCCGTTACGTTTGTTTATAAATGTAAATTCAACCTTCATTAACCATGGAAGATTCTCTTTGAATATTAATGTAATCAATGCACAAGAAACTTGAAAAACGTTTTCAACGCCAATTAAGACATTAACAAAAGCATTTTAAGTCGTAATGAAATTTTCAAATCAGCTCCTCTGCCCGCATGTACAAAACGTTTAAACCGCAGACTGATCAAACCGACCCGCCCAACCCTTCAGCATGAAAGAAAATCTCATTGAACATAATTATACCCCGATTGTCCGTTTCGATTGATATAACCGTAAAACCCTCTGAAACAGCAAAGGTTGTGGGAAAGTTGGTACACTGAAAATTCCATTGGGAATTGGTACATAAATCATGACAGCGGTGAGAAATGAGAAAATAGCGACATTTTCCAATCCAGTAATTTATTATAATGTGGATTTCACTTCTTCCACGTGAACCGTTAAGAAATGATGTTAAAAAAGTTAAGCAGTTGAAAGCTCCTTTCCCTCAGATTCAGAACGTTCGTTACCACCGAACGAGATTACCATAAAATATGTTCAAAGACAACCCATCAAGATTAAAAATATAAATAAAACGAAAAATCCCTTGCCAGTGGTGCTAAAGCTACCGACGTTGGAGCCTCGTCGTGAATAAACAAAACCGATACACAAAACATCTGTTACGCAAGTGCAAAAATAAAAAATAAATAAACTGACAACTCTCATTCATAGTTTCCACAGTAGTTCGATTATACAAATAAACAAGGTTAATTTAAAGGGGGGAATTTAAAAATACCATCCGCAATAAAGGGAGACGGTTTTGACCTAAACTCCTAAACATCTAGACTATTTCAAATTACAAAGCGTTCATTAACATTTGTGAATTCCGTTAAATAAAAGGAATTGAGAGATTTTTAATCAACTCGTCTTAGCGCTAAGAGCCCTTAAGTTTCCATTTCATGGTAAGGCAAAAAGATCAAGGGTGCAGTTATATTTTTTATTTCGTTTTAACAAAATTAAAAACCGACCGTATTACTTTTTTAGGCAGAAATAAGGAACGTGTATGAGTAACTTGATAAATTGTTTAAAAAAATTAATATAAATGCAAACGAATCAATCCCAATCGGAAAATATGCTAAATTTTCAATGTAATAACCGCGGATGTTCGAATCCCTTGTGACAAGATTAAATATTTTAATCCATTATATTTAGTGGTCTGAGTGACCAAATCACTTCTTTCAATTAATCAATCTTTTAAGGTAAGGTTTTGGTTGAAATGAAAAAGCGAAAAAAAACTTTGCTGAAGGTCGTGGGTTCGAATCCCGCTCGTGACACTAACTTTTTCATTTCAACCAAAACCTTACATAAAAAGATTAATTGATTGAATTTTGTTTTTATAGGGTCTTCATTAATCAAATATCTGTATCGTTTGTTGCCGCGAGTCATCGATGTAAAAACTAACATTATTTTACTGGTATCAAGTTTTGATAAATTTCATAAATAAACCATCTTTCTTTATTGTTATTCAGAGAAGGCTACATCGGATTTCAGGTTTATATTAAAAATAAAAATCGAGTTATCGTCACATAAGTAACTCATGTTAGTAAGAAGATGAAGAAAAGCGCTGGAGAAATGGGGAGGAGCCAGTTTTAAAAGTAAAGTTACTCGTGATGGTGATGGTTGAAGAGCAGTTGTGGCAGATGGACCTCGAAGAGCACTGGGAAACTTGCAAGTTATATCAAAGTTCCCCGAACTATAATCTTGAACTGGAACTGAACTAGCAAAATCGTCCTTCTCTAATCGTAAAATTTTAAACAACCCTCTATTTCGTGTTTCTTTCAACAAATTTTAAACTAAAAGTATATCTGAACAAGTCCGAAACCGTATGACCATGGGTCAAGTCTGGGGAAAATAAAGGGTATCGAAATTTGATCGAAATTAAGTTCTTATGTTTCGAAATAGTTTGCGAACTCTATTGACATCAATTTGAGAGGTAATGTTATGGTCACCTCCAGGATTTGCTATTCAGTAAAATTTCTATGAAACGACAAAACGAGTTAACTAATTTCACGTCACACCACCTCAAAAGGTAAGGAATAGGATTTCGAAAACTTCGTTATTTCAACAAGGAGATTAACAACAAACCTAGAACTGAAGAACCCTAGGCTATGTTTCTGCGTAAGCTGCAGGTATAACAGGCATTCAAAGATTAAATTTAATTATATCAGGGAACTTGCATAATCTTTTTAGTCCAAAACACTAAAAGATTTCAGTCAACAGACCACCTCAAAAAGTAAGTTATAGTTATTCGAATTTCTGTCTCTCATTCAGCATACAGCTCTTATGATGATCCTTAAAATTACTTTAATATATCCAAGTCTAATTTCATTTTGGCATTTTAAGACTGAAGAAATAGCAAAAGCTTGTTGAATTAATTGGTTGTCAGGCTAGTTCAACACGTGGAAACAATAACAACCATTATATTTCGGGACTCCTGTCCTCTCTTCGGTGATAACCTTTCACAAGCCTGGAGCAATATAACCTTCCAGGCTTGTGAAAGTTATCGCTGAAGAGGGGACAAGGAGACCCGAAATATATAAGATTTGGAAAAGAAAAAAAGGTTGTTATTGTATCCACGTGTTTAACTACACTGACCACCAATTGAATGAAAAACTGAAGAAAATAACAATAATATTACAACTTGTCGAAGTCAGTTTTAATTCCTCGCCTCTATAGCCCCTGCACATTCTAGCATAGAGATATGTTCACCTGATTAAAACTTCATCCAAGTATTGACATTTTAACTATCGTTTAGGTAACGAGCAGTTGCGGTAAACCAATATTTCAAGCACCTAAAATATTTTAACGCGCAACAACAATCTTTTCTTGATTGTGTCTCACAGGTTCGATAGAAATTAAAATTTCTACTCGATTTGTCGTCAAATAAAGTTGATTTTTCGTCCACCCAAGAAATTCCCCCAATGGATAATTGACGGGCCGTTGAATTAATACAGGCTTCCCTAAATTATCAACGGAGGGGGCGTAAATCTCATAAAGCCCAAATTAAGTCTCTTCTAAGGGATTATCTAGGTGGTAAAAATTGTTATGACCTTTAGTTCTGATACTAGAATAGCCCGTCTGAAGATTCCTACACGCCCACGGCCAAAAACGCAACCTAATCATTCCCCACGCCGATATTCAATGGAATTCTCATTATTTATACATGAGGAATACCGGCACGTTCCCGGGTAAAATGTAATTGCAACAAGCTCCAAGTTCCACCAACTTTCTACAAGTCCCTTTGCTATGAGTTTTGAGATAAGTGCTTGGTTTGATTAATGTTAATGTTTTATGACTGGGGATCCTTGCAGGTGGTTACCATGATGTCATGAAAGGTCACGGGAGCAGTAAATATTAACGTAGTTAAAGATCGGATTTATGTAAATATGTTTCCCCAATCGAGAAAAAAACCTTTGAAAAGAGTTAAAAACAACTTTTCAGAGAGGGAGGTTTCGACTTAATCCGAATCGTTATAGCCGGAGGAAAGAGAAAAACTTGTAAGCCAGAACAAGAAAAAAGATGATCCTTACACACGGAACATTTTACACAATATTTCAACTGTTTTGTTGCTTAAATAAAATTAATTTCTACTAATCAAAGTCATTTGCTTTCAAGAGTCTAAAGGGCATACTGTAAATAATTTATAACATGGGTTCTAAAAAAAACTGATACTTTTAACGAAAACTTTCTTGCAATTGTTACCAAATAAAATATTACAGGGTTATAAAACATGACTTAAGTTCTTAGTCCAACTTTTCTGCCTCTTTTATTGCATGCAGTGACTTATACTTTATCCAGCCTACCCTTTTCATATCTTAAATTCACTAATTTCGTGGTCCGCTTGAACAACTAATATATTACAATTAATTAAGGTTTTCAGTTGAGATAAAAAAGTCAATGGCACGAGCGGGATTCGAACCCACGATCTTCGGCTTGATACGCCGCTGCTCTACCACTTGAGCTATCGTGTTCTCGATCCACTCGGACACCAATTTCCCACCTTTTGAATTTTCCTCCTTTTTGCCATTTTTCATATCATTTACCTATAGATCACAATGAGAATGTACGAAGCGCACCTCGCTGGTTACGACTAAAAGGGTTGAAAGAGAGATATGAAGGATTACATGGAGTTTCTCGTAATTCGGCAGAATGTTGGTCAAAACACTGGGTTCATTAGATTACACCATGACGCTGAACTATTCAAAATTTGACAGCATCCATGTCGTACAAGACCATCAGGAGAAACTGGCCGTTCAAATCTCACTTCAGAATACTAAACACTAAAAATATCCCGCTTTGATCAACTAGAACCAATAAAGCAATTTATTTACTCCATATGCCGCTCTAAGATGTTGAAATCTTAGAAAAATTGGTGACCGAAATATTCGGCCGATTGTCACCAGATTAGTTGCCAAAATCTGAGGCTAATCAGAACGTCCATGTGGTAGATTGTTTCACAATCTTAAAGAGAATTTCGCAAAAGGGTCATAAAGATGAAATTTGGTTCTTTTATAAACATCCTACAAAACTGAGAGAACGGATGTTTAATTAGGATGGTCGAAAAGAGCTCTGCTTGTAACCCTAAACATGGAAGGTTGTTAAAGTGGCAAAAAAAATTTAATTGTCACTTAATCCCAATTTTAATTTAAAGGTCTTATTTAGGATTTCAAAGAACAGTTTTATATGACTTTAACGAGAATGAAAATTTATTTTTAACACAAACAAGGCAGCCAATACGAACAATAATCTTGACAAACAAGTTCTCAAACAACAAAAAAATTACAACATAACTTTATTAATC